TACTAGCTTCTAGACTCAATTCGGTAGTAAGTGCCAAATTCCACCCCATTTGGACAAATGGTGAACAATAAAAGGTAAATCGGACGAAGTTATATATGGGAGCTATATCCAAATCTGAGCCGATCTCTATAAATTTTAGCAAATGTATTTTTGAGCTATATTTGATATATTTCCACAAATATTGTTGTTACAGAGTGCATATTACGGTTGCGGAGAACAAAAATAACAAATCGGATGAACCATATATATGGGAGCTATGGCTATATCTGAACCGATTTCAATCAAATTTGGCATACTTAGTTCCTGCCTTAATATGGTCGTATATGCATTTTTTTTCATACCATTTGGGTATGAATTTACACGTTTGGTGCACAATAAAAGGCAAATCGGACGAATTGTCTCCATTTGCAATAAGGGTCGTCCTTGGGTCAAACAAATGACTATTGAAAAATTTTATTTGGATCGGGCAATAAATGCGACCTTTACCTTTTTTACAAAAATACATAGGATATTTTGAGATAGATTTTTTAGATCTGAAATCCTTTCCTCAAGAAAAGACGAAATCCTCAATATATAGATAACCCCACTTAAAAAAATCTTCCAAAAAATAATAGCTCAAAACCACGAAAATCTTGCCCTCTATGTACGTCCTTCGTCGTTCTTAAGGGAATGCTACAAAATTTATATTCCTGTGTATATTTTTTTAATCATATTCGTCTACGAATTTAGCATCATTGTAAAGGTTCGAAGTTCCATTTTATTTTTACCAAGAACAATAGGTTTCAATTCCGGCCTTACCCTAAATTCTTGTCGAATTTTGTCAGGATCGCGCGAAAATGTAGACCAGTAGCGTAATTAGTAAAGAAGATCGATGAATAACCAATATTTCGAGGTTTCACAAAATTGTTGGTCCAATCAACTTGATAATACCCCTAACACAAAAAGTTATAGGGCATAACAATTGCCGTATGTTGTTCTGAAGGTCTCTATGACAATATTCTTCAAAGTCTTAAGGTCCTTCTAAAATATTTTGAAAAAATCCTCTTTTGTTAGTCTGAGCTTTCATCTTTAAATAAACATCCAAGTTTAAAGACCAATTTATATATTCCTCAAAATTATTTCTTAAGAATCCACAATTATTTAACTGAGGGTATGGATGCAGGAAAAGTACGAGTGTTATAAGAAGTTTACTCTCCACTCCCTTGTTTCATGAAATTTTTCTCTCCACTCTCTTGTTTCAGCGCTCGTGAGTTCTCTTGTTTGAAATATAAGAGTGGAACTAAAAAGGTTCGAAATAGAGTAAGATTTTATCCTTAGAGTAAGATGAAGTGGAAACATTTTTTAGCAAAAAAATTTGAAGAAAATAAGAGGAAAATAAGACGCTTTCGAACGACATAAAATAGATTCCTGAAATTTTTCACAGACGTATTTCAGGTCCGTAAAATTAAAAAAGTATGGCTTCACGATTTGGCATAACCCCCATAAGACGTTAACGTCCGATTCAAGCCATTTTTGGATTTTTTTTTTCATATTTTCAACGTATTTTGTGATAAATCTGAAGTTTTCAATGGGGATCCTCGCAAAAAGCTGTTCACAAAGGTGAATACCCTGTTAAAATAGATTCAAAAGATGTAAAGAGTTGTTCCGCTTGGCCGAAAGTGGTGAACTGCCGAATTTGGTTTTCTCCGATGAGAAAAAATTGTTGTCCAGCAGTTTGTAAACAAACAAAATGATCGTGAGATCGGCGCTTGCCGAAGAGGTCAGCTGAAAATGTGCACCTACGATTGGCCACCAGAACTAAAGCGGCGGCCATGATGATGGTGTGGGCCGCCATAACAGCCGATGGTCGTTCTTCGTTCGTATTAATCGACCGTTCAGCATCAGTGCCGAATATTATCGCGAAATTGGTCTGGAGGGTGCATTAAAGCCTTGGTCACGCAAACATTTTGGCCGCAGACCTTGGAAATTCCAACAAGGCTCAGGACCATAGCACTCAGCACGCGCCACCCAAGAATGGTTACAAAATGAGGTTCCTCGTTCCACGTGTGGACTATTACGACCCATTAAGTACAATGATAGAATTATTCAAACTTAGCCATTTCGTTAGATTTTAATTCTAGTTTTTAAAATGTTCGAATCGATTTTTATAGTGGAATTTTATCGGTTTTCGTGTCATAATATTGACAAATTCACAAACATTTCAAACCACTTTAGAAGTGTCAGACAATACCAACTAATCACTCTACAGGTCGCAATTATGGGCCGATCTTCATGAAATTTAGAATGGAGCCAGAATAGAAGATGATTGCACGATTTTTTGGGGTTGAAATGGACCCAAAACAGAAAATTTTCCTGATTTTGCAGTTGCTCCACAAGTCGCAATTATAGGCTATTCGACGTCGAAGTTAGAATGGGACTAGATATTAGGGGGCAGAATTTCCTGAGTTTACAGTTGGTCTACAGGTGGCAATTATAGACTAATCGACGCCGAAGTAAGCATGGGGGCAGAAGTCTACTGATTTGGATGTTCATCGGGTAATATTTAGTGGGCTAAATAGACAATAACATTTGTGTTACATAAAATTCAAATTTTGTAATATTTTTCACCTTACAACACTGGTTGGGGTTATTATATACAGATTACAATTATCGTCCGATCCTCACAAATTTTTACAATGGTAGGGTTAGGCTCAGAAGGGCTAGGCCAATTGTTTTCAAAGATTTCCGCAACTAAAAATGTTCCTGATTTTTGCAGGTCACAAGTAGAAACCAAATGACACGAAATCTCGTATGAAGTTAGAGTTTCGGACAGCCAAACTTTCCATTCTACCGAAAAGCTGAAAATAACTTACAGACAATATCCAAAATACACAAAAGTCGAATTTCTGGCTTTTTTATGCTAATTTCATTGACGAATATAGTTAAATACCGTAGACAAGCAAATCATATGGATGAGTCCAAATTTGGTAATACAGCGGGGTCTCTTGCTTTTGGAGACGATCGAAAAATATTTAGGGGTTCAAATGAACCAAAAATAGAAAAAATATCCTGATTTAAGGATATGAAAGAGTTCTAGCATTTTGGATGACCATTGGATTATATTTAGCTGTAAAATGGACAACAAATATTGGACAAATGTCCCTGGTCAAAAATCTGGGCAGTGTTCCGTGACATAATTTCAAAAGCGAAATCTTCCACAATAGATTTGGACATAAGGGAGCTTCTAACATATTTTCTTACTTGTTTTATATGTGTTCGTTTCGTCTTCCGATTTGAAGGAAGACTTCACTGAAGAACATTTGGAAAAAATGTAAATCTTATTCCAAAACACATCGTTTAAAGGTCTTAAAGCGAAAGGTAGGGTGTGACACACCAGTTCTCAATAGATATCTGATGTAACAACATCTCACAATAGGTCTAAAGTTATCGTTCTCAACACACCTAATACTTTGTAGTGTTTCTTTTCTTTTTAAATAAAAAATGTTTATCCAAGTCAATTGGACCCCTCGGTTCCTCAAATTCAAAATTGTGTCATAATTCAGAAAAATTATATATCACTCATAGTCAATTTCAATTTTAATATTGGTTTTTATTTATTCTCTCTTTCTTGTTTTACAAAATACAACTTAAAAAACGGAAAAATAATGATAATCAAAAAAATAATAAAAATAATATTTATCCACATTTTACTCTTTTTTTAAATTGTAAAATTAAAAATTTGTCAAATCAGTATTTAAAAAAAAAAAAATGAAAATAAACTCGGTGTAATTCGTTGATTGACATTTAACAAAGAAAAATAAACTTAAATCTATGAAAAAAAAACCTCAAATACATGGAAAATAATTATGACATAGAATATTGGAAATAACATGAAGAAAAAAAAAAGAACATATTAATTTTGGAATACTACAAATGGAATTTTGAAGAAAATATTGGAGGAATTAAGTTCGAAAATCAAAAATAATAAAAAATTACAAAAATAAGTTGTTTAGATTTTACACAAATTTGGATTGATTTTTTCAAACTTAAACTACTTCATCCATGACCCGAAAGGGAGAAATTTCCATAATTTTTGGTTTTTTTTGCATCCGAAAATCATCAGAATGTCAAATTTTCTTAGGGGATTTAAGTTTTTAGAAAATCAACTCCAAATTTGTTTATCTCCATATTTGTTGTTAATTTAAGTGTTCTTTCTTTTATAGTAATATCTTGTATGTATATGTAAGTCTATATATATTTGTATTTGACAAAGAACAATATATATGTGTGTGTACTAATAATATAAAGACGAAGAAAATCAGGTTTATATCTTTGCTGTGGGAAAATTTCATTACATTTTTTTATTTTCCATAGGCTAACATTATCAAATCCATTTTCCATCCATTTTATTTATATTTTTGTTTTTTGCTTTTTTATAAAACTAAACTAAAATTAAATAATAATTATAATTAATAATAATATATTTTTCTTTACTTATTTCTTTTATTTTTGTTTCTTACAAACGGAAGTGAAGGGAATTACCAAAGTAATGTAGATTTTTTCTTTAGAAAAACAAAAAGAGAAAAACATGTGGAAGAGAGAGAAAAAAGGAGGACAAAAAACTCAACACTCAACTCACAAGATTTTGCAATTAAATTAAAACTAAATGAAAAAAAAACATAAATTTTACATACAAATTTGTTTGAATAGAATATAATCTAAGAAAATTTCCTATATCTCGATATAGGTACAATTAAATGTTACTCCAGGGGCAAAGACCTTTCTTTCTTTGTTGGTCTTATTGTCCAAATAATTTTTTTTGCAAAAATAATATTTTTGTTGAATTTCATTTGAATAAAAAATAAATTTCGAGAAGTCCCTCCTTGTTTTGTTTTTTTTTTTTCGTTAGTGTTTGTATGGGAATTGGGGGTTTTCTTTTTCTATATATATTTAGGTATGTGTTTGTGTGGGTGTGTAATTTTCTTAAAAACATAATTTTTTTCTGTTTATTTTATTTTATTTTATTTCAATTCAGTCCTTTGTCCCGCCCGCAGTTTTGCTCTCGCATTCAGATATTCCGGATTGACGTACTGCTTATCGTCGTCATTATTTTCCTGATTTTGAAGGCGGGCTTGTGCATGCTTTTGAGCTCGTTCCATTATCACACGATTGAGTTCACTTTTAAGGCCGTAGGTGGGTGAGGGAGGCTGCTGTTCCATGTTATGCTGTTGCCGTTTCTCATAGGCACGCTGCAGTTCTGTTTTCTGATTTAGAACACTGATGCCCCTGCAAAAATAGAGAGATGGGGAAATGATAAAAAATATATATTAGCAGGGGATAACAAAAAAAAAAAAAAAAAAAAAAAAAAAAATAAAATGAAAAAATTTTTTTGAAAATTTTCGATGGATGCTTTATATTTGGAAGACACCTCTCGAAAACCTCTCAAGTAATGTAACCAATAATTTTGTATAAGCATGCCAATTGCTGCGAACGAGTTCTATAAGATGGGATTTTTTGGAATCCGAGGAAAAAAGTCCCATAAGGTGTAAAAGATTATACCAATGGTATTGAGGGATGGATAATAGCTACAACACTTAAGTTATGTAAATATAGGACAGACAATCAAAAAAGTAAAACAGATATAAAAATAGTACTAAGAAGGTACAATAATTACTAAAAGCTACAAATGTACTGAAAGGTAGTCAAGATTGGCGTTAATAGAATGTGCAGAACTTGAAGCTTGAAATTTGGTATGAAGGGGTTTTATGGATTTTAAATATTCGCATTAAAAATGTACGAAAAGTACTCAAAGGTACAAATAAATGTTTATTATTATAAAAAAGTAGTCAAAAAGTATCAGTCGGTTTTGCCGACAGATGTGTACCCTCAACCAATGTTCGATTAAATTGTTGACCTCTATCGAGTAAGTTCAGAAGAAATGGCCCAATGTTGTCCATTTCGTAGCAGGTCACAATAAATATATGATACAAAAAACAAAAACCTGCAACCAAACTTAAGCCTGCTGTCATTTCTAAGCCACTCTCCCGACAGTTGTTAAAATTTTTCCCGTGACAGCTCATCATATTGTTTACAAGCGTACAAAAACATTTTGGTGAGAATTTTCCAGAAAAAAAGTTATTCGTGATGGAATTCAAGCGTCATAGTGTGATTTATTTATATTTGGCGTAAAAACTACAAGTGGCTATCGTTAGAGCACTCCAGCATTTAAATGTGAAAAAATCTTGTGTCTCGTACTGGTACTGGTAGCGTAGCCCGACGTCAAGGAAGTGGCCGGAAGAAAACAGCAACACCAGCAGAAATGGTTCGAAAAATAAAGAAGCGACTTTGCATCTATATTATCGCAATATTCCATTGGCAAATATTGAAAAATAAGCTCGGGTAAAGTCTTTGAAATTCCAAAAAGTGCAAGAACTTACACCGCAACGGAAAGAAAATAGACTGACCATCAGAACTCAAGCGCCCGCCATGGTGATGGTGTGGGCCGCCATAACAGCCGATAGTCGCTCTCCGCTCGTATTAATCGACCGTGCATCAGAATAAATGCCGAATATTATCGCGAAAATATTCTGGAGGGTGTATAAAAGCCTTGGGCATGCAAACATTTTGGCCGCAGAACTTGGACATTCCAACAGGTTTCAGCACCATCGCTCTCAGCAAGCGCAACACAAGGCATTAAAAAATACCAAAGTGTTGATCAGTTCCAGCATGCGCTTCGCCGGGAATGGGCCAAAATACCGCAGAGCAACATTCGGGCAGTGTGTGACGGTTTTAGTAGAGCTTGAAGGCCATAATTCGTGCCAAAGGTGACCAATTCGAACAAATCTAAACTTATTCTTAAATTTAATGCTATTTCCGGCGTTGTTTGCTTCCATTCAATAAACGTAAAATTTATGGCGTTTAACTTTTGTTGCAGTGTTTCTATCTCACCCTGTATATTTGCCCCAATCAAAATTATTATGCCCCCAACTCATAGACCTGGCACGTCCTAATATTTGTATCAGACTTTGTCAGTTGTGAAAATGGACACGACTTGTTTTGGCAAGACCTTATAAAAATATTCTTCAAAGATTGACAAATACAAATGTCAAAAAATTTAAATGTTTTAAAAACTCCCCGCGTCTGGTCAAACATGGAACAACATATTAGATGCGCACAAATTAGAACAAATCGGAGACCTCGTTCGCACAGTAAGTGGCAAAACTTTAGCCTTTTGTGAGTAAGGTAGTAATGGAAATAGACCTATGGTTTCTATTAACATTGAAATGACCCAAAATTGAAAAAAAAAAAACACGGATGACATTGGGATATTTTTGATATTTAAAAAGTAGATATATCTGTGGACGAGATTCCAGAAAGGAAAGGGCAAACATTTATGGAAAAACTGCACACAAGATCTAATACTGGTATAAATAATGGCGCTTTAAAAACGAATGCGCATGTCAAATTCAGAATTTTTACTTTGCGGGGAGGGACAACCAAAATATTTCATTGTAACACCTGAACTATATGACTGCATTACCTTGTGCCAAATTTGGACTACATTGAGTACGTCTTTCGGTTTATATGAGATATTTGTAAATTTATGAGAGATGTACCAGCAAGAGGGGATCTATGTATTCCATTTGATCTAATACTGAGGAAAAAATTACGAAGTTTGCTCATTTCACATTCTACTTTAGTAATTATTATGTTTTTATTATTCCATATTTTATACCCTACACCGCATAGTATTAAGGGTGTTATGTCTTCGTGCATTTGTTTCTACAGGGAGAAGGAAGCGAGATAGACCCATAGTTACTTCAGAGGATATTTATAGAATCATTTCTGAGTCGATTTATGCATGTCAGTCAGTCCGTCCGTCCGTCCGTCTGTTCATGTATTCATGTGAACAAAATGCAGGTCGCATTTATTATCCGATTGAGATGTAATTTTGCAAACAATATTTGTTTGGCCCAAGAACGAACCTTTTTGAAATTGATGATAATCGGATCAGATTTAGGTATAGCCTAACGACCTAACGACCTGAATTTTGGTTCATCTGACCAAATTCAGGCTAGCCGCAAGTACATCAAATTTAGAGAAAATCGGTTCAGATATAGCTATATCCCATATATATGTTTCACCCGATTGGGGATTTTAAGTCCCTCATATGCGTAATATGCACTACACAACAATGATATTTGGTACCAAACACCTCTGCCAAATTTTATCAAGATCGCTTCAGATTTGGATATAGCTCCCATATATATCTTCAACCCAATTCGGGTTAATTGTGCGCCAAATGTCCAATATCAGCCCAAATGACCTGCATTTTGGCACATTACACCGAATTCAGTCTGGAAGCAAGTACACCAAATTTGGTGAAAATCGGTTCAGATATAGCTACATCTTATATATATATATATATATATATATATATATATATATATATATATATATATATATATATATATATATATATATATATATATATATATATATATATTATATATATATATATATATATATATATATATATACTAGCTGGCCCAGTCCGCGTTGCCGGCCCGTAGTTTGTGTCTATTATGCATATTTGTCAAAGTATAATTATTCACAGATATGACTGATATAAGTGTTCACATGCTGGTCGATTAAAAGTGATTTAAAATACCTATACCCATATTTAAGCCGGGGGCTTCAATATTGAAACCGTGGGCTTCAAATGTGTGGATGTGATTTACAAATCTATTAAAAA